TGATCCCCGTTAATGGAGCATCTTAATTCTTTACAATCTAACATATTTATGCTAACAGTGCACTTGCAAGGGAGGGAAATATTATCTTCTGTATTTTACAGATGAGAAACAGTGACTCAGTTTCTTAGAAAGTGTTTAGGAGTCAAACTCCTAAATAACATTTGTGTTTCTGCTTTCTCCCATAATGTGTTAAGCAATAGCCAAATACATATAGTTTCTCTTGTAATTCAACCACAGACAGCTAAAACCTGCCTTTCAGGATTGCTAAGTCTTTGCTATTTTCCATTCAGTGTTTACAATAACCTCATGAAAGAGATCCTGTAAAACTACTGTTATTTTAATATCTGAGAACTAAGTCACTCAAGTATAGATGCACCAGTGTCACTAAAATTACTCTTAAGAGAAGATTGGTAATCTGCCAAAGTTATTCTATCTTCCTTCAGTATATGCCACTCCATTCAGACTTTGGCATGCTCAATGCACATAGTGCAGATGTGCTTGTGGAAATGGAATCTTTTGATTTTCAGTTCATTACACCTAGGCAAACTGTTTTCTGCTTTGGTCTTAGACTTTTGCTTTCCTCCAGTGTTTCTGATCACTGTCACACAGACTGCAGTGACAAAAGTCAGCAATTTGTAAGGGGACCAAAATCCTTTCAGATGTTGTGTACAAGTTTCAGAGCTGTTTTCAGATTTATTTCCTTTCTTGTTTCCTTGCAGATATCCCTTTAATGACACTGAGTAGATTTTGACATCAGACATAAGATCAATTTCCCTACAAACCGGCCACATTCACAGCGATGACTATTTTGTTGGATCCCCAGAGATCAAAATGAAATGCACCCAAAGTCTGCGCTGGTTTTCTACAACAAGCCCTAGACTGTTAAAGCAAAGTACCCTTGGAGCCAAACTTCCTTAAAGTTGACAGGACTCCAGATTTAAGTCATCTGGGCACCAGACTGGATCCAACTCCAGTAGCTGGAGATGAAGACAAATCTTTTTAATTTATCATTGGAGAGATTAAAAGGTGCTGATCAAAGTGTAAGCATTATCATCATTGTCTGGACTACTACAAGTATTTCAGTTAAGCTGCGCTCACAGGAACCTGGATATAACTCCTTTTTCTCCCCTCTTTCCAAATATGCCCACTCTAGGCAATACACAAAAAGCAGAACTTGTACCAGGCCATGGTGTCTTTTGGTTTATTTTGTGTTTCAGCATTTCTGTAATACTAATTCAGAGAGTGGAGGGTTGTGGTCTCTGTTTCAATGCACAGGGGCTTCCTTACTGCTCCAGTGCATTTTTTGGTTCGTGCTCTTGCTTGGCAGGTGGGAGGTGCTCTGCTTTCATGGCAGCGAGGAGAGAAAAACTCAAAGAGAAACTGCTATGGTATGGACTGTGACACATCCTACAGGAGGCCCTCACTGCCCTCCTGGCTGGGTGCAGTGGTGGCAGAGAGGAGGTCTGCAGAGAGGAAAGGGAGGGTTCCCCAAGCAGGAAGCAGCAAGGGCTACCAGAAATAGGATATCATATCTTTACCGACTGTAGATATCTTTCTTTAGTGATGTGTACCTATGTATGGCAAACACCATAAAGTATAGAGCAGAGATCAGAACAGCAAAATACCATCTGAGGTACAGATAGGTGTAGCTCATGTACAAGACCAGAAGCTTGAGGCTGCAGTCCCTGGTAGGACTCCTACAGGACCACACAGACAGGTGCAAGGAAGGCCAAGCTATTCAGGAGGCTTTCCTTATACCAGGCATAAAATGGAGAAGGAGATGTAGCCAAGATCTGGATATGAAGTTTTGATCTTTCCATGACCTTCTGTACTCTTAAAGCTATTCCCAGCTCTTCAAGCTATTGGGCATCAAGAAGAAAAGCAGGTGCAATGATATAAGAGCCAGAGCCACAAGTAGAATGAAGCTCAAAGAGGCAAGAGTTGGACCAGCATCTTCATGAGGAGTGTTTTTGAAAGGGGAAAATATTTAAGTTTCTCTCAGCTTGTTTGAAACATTTTACTAGTTTGAGAGATTCTTTAATTCCTGGGTTAAGTGATTTTAGCAAGATTTGCTCCAGCTTTCTTTTTCTTTATAATACAGGAGTGTAATGTGAAAACCTGAGCATAAATCTTCTATAGCTAAGACAGGGAACCTCCTGAAACTAGTCAGGTTGCAAAAGCAAATATGTATTATAGCACAATCACAGTATTTTAGGAAAATTTTGAAAGCTTCAATCAGAAGGAAAGGGTAAAAGCACCTTTATTTCAGTCATAATTCAAGCATCATCCATCTTCCTTTCCTTCCATAAAGGCAAACATTCTCAAATTACAAGTTTTCGAAGATTTTTTTCAAGTCTCCATTTCCCTCAGAGCTTAACTCTGTCTTTAGTCAAGACTTCCTCCTGGAGCTTTACAGCTTATTGTACAGTCCTTGAAATCAGCATTATTTCTAGCTGTTTGCTTTTCCAGCCTCAGTAATAGAAAGCAAGAACTATTTTCAAATTTATGATTGCATTGAAAATATCATTAATCTAATATTCTTTTTTTATACCAACTCAGCAAAATGTTCCTAGCAAATACTGTAACCGAAGTTCAGGTACTAGGACTCTATGGAATGAATGCTCTTCCAGTCCCTTTGCTGCAAGGATTTCTGGACAGGTCTTTTTAGAAAGGAAAAAAGAATTAACTCCTGAATCAGCTCCAGGTTGAAACTTTATGTCAGCTCTCTCAGAAATAGCAGCAAAAAACCTCAAGGTTCCAAATAAATGTATAAACGTGGATAAATCCTACACACATTTGTTTAAAGGTAAATGAAATGAAATTGGTATAAACCCCAGAGAAGGAAGCAAGAAATAGATACTCTGAGTGACTGGTAGAATTATTTGAGATATTATGAAACTCATCCTAAGTTAATAAATCAGAAGAGTTTCTACAGTAAGGAAGTTTAATCATGACAACTACAACAGAATAAAAATAAACTACAAGCAATGCTGAATGCAAAAAGTGAATGTCAGGAGTGTCTGAAGCTTTCCATGGTGAGGACAAGAGGTGGCCTCCCTGAGCAGGTTGCCCTCTATCTCAGAAGGACCAGTGTGAAGCACCCTCCTGCCTCCTGCCTGTTACCCCATCCTGTCTGGGCAGCAGCCACAGTTTTCAGAGGTAGACAAGCCCTCATTAACCCTTTTCAGGATGCTGCTGCACTTCTGAATGAACATATTATGAGTAGAGAAAATTGCATTTGTTTCCTGGACTCACTGTTAAATACTGTTAGCAGATTTGGTAATGTCTTGAGGATATTAAAACAGTAACCGATTGGAGACATGATAGACAGCAATCCCCTGCTGTGCCTCTCCTCTTCAGGAATCCTCAGCTGCTGGCAGTATTAACTCACTTGCTAATGTGAAAAAGACAATGTAAAGCCTTTTAAACAGTTTGTTTGAGCAAAACTGTGCAAAGCAGATAAGGTATTTGTGGAAATTACAGTTTGGGGTGAACTTAAGGGAAAATCTGTGTGCAGTCCCCACCAATAGCAGCTGTATATGGTGAGGCTAATAGACAAATTAGCAAACTGGGGAGACTGTTTCCTAGAAGAAGAGTAAAGTATAGCATCTTCTTCCTGTTCAGACATCAAGAGAAGCTGAAAAGAGTTCAGCTCTCTTGTCTAGATGTATCCATGCACTGCTACTTTCTGTGTTATAACAAGAATACATTACTCAAATACGAAGGAACACACCAACATAATTGACAGGAAATGAAGCGCAAGGAAGAATAAAACATACAAAACAGTGTATATTCTCTATCTTAAATGTTGCTTGTATCAGAACACAAGATTTCAGAAAAGAATCTGAGTAAGATGAGTGACAGGTCAGTTTGAGGAAAGTGTTTCCTGAATTTAAGGAGGGCCAGGGTACATACAGGGAGAGAGAAGCAAAAGAGGGAAGACGACAAGTACAATGTGGTGATAGCTGTTGTTGTGAAGCTGGGATGAGTGGGTTCATGGGTCAGATTTTCTGAGGAGACAGTGAAGAAAGAGCTGAGGATCAAGGAAAGACTGAAGTGGAGGGAACCAATAGCTAAGGTCACTTAAGAGAGCAGACGGCAGGGAGAGGATGCAGAGAATGACAAAAAAGTGATAGACATTAATGGATTGGAGGTCTCAAGAGGGCAGGGTGAGGCAAGGGGCAGAGGATAGATATGCTTTGTTGAAAGAAATAGAGAGGTGAGAGAGAAAGCAGTACTCAAACAAATCAGAGGAGGACCACTGTTTGGGGAAAACAGGAGCAAGGCCCATCCAGTGAGTGGGAGTGCTGTTCTGGGCTTGTAAGTCAAGTGAGGGGGCGAGGGAAAGGAAACAAGGGTCAAAGAGGTCAGGCAGGATATCAGTGAAGAAGGCAAAGTCAGCTCCAGATGAGATCATGAGGAAAAGCAGGTATCATTATAACTGGAGTGGCAGTGGGAGAGCAGCTACAAGTCAGGGAGGATGCCTCACTAGTACCTCCCAGTCATGGAAGAAGCTGGCCAGGGCTATTAGGCACATACTGCAGGAATACTGCAGGGCCTTTACAAAATCTGGCAGGTCTTTTAGATCCCAGCCTCTCTCCACCCACACCCCACTAAAATGAATAGCTCCATTCATTTGGGCCAGAGTATTGATTGCAGAGTCTTCTCTAACATGGAAATTCATTGAGGCCTCTTTGCCTTCACTAAGCCATTTCCTGAGTGTCGCTCCAAGATCAGAGCGTGCCTCCTCCTGACCCCAGGAAGAGGGAGAGCCCAACCCAGAGTGCTGGCAAGGCTGGTAAAAGTGTCACTAATCAGCAAATTAGCCCCCGACCACACAGGCCAGCACCACAAATTCCTCCTCTTTCTTGTCAGCACAGCCAATACATGAAGGAGCCACATCATTCCCCCTGCTCCGATAAGTTTGCAGTGGGTTTAGACAGACCAAGGATATTCAAACAGAGCCTGTATTTTTAGGGTACAGACAGTCATGTCTAAAACTCCTAGAGAAAACTGTAGCACTCTGACATAGTTTTTGATCTAACACTGTATGTCTTTGTGGAAGGAGCTGATACAACTGCTTTGAGATTATTATCACAGCACTGTAAGCAAAGCAGTAATGGTTTGACAGCTACCATACTAAGACCTCTGTCTGTTAGTTTTATTGCTTGTTCATTGCTCTACCAACTATTCCTTTTTCACAGCCTATTGTTTTTTGCTCTTATACTATAAATGCGTTTGGAGCATAAACTATGTTTTTGCTCTTATTCAGGGCACATCTAGTACAATACAGTCTGTCCAGCACAGAGGACAACAATAACATAACATAAATGAAAGACATTCTGCTGAGATACTAACTGCTCTTTAAAGCCTGCATGCAAAAAAATATACTTTGAATGTGTAATGTTTTTAACTTAAGCCACCACACAATTAAACGCACTAAAATAGACAGTTCGTACTACAGACAGCTGTTGCCAGCTGTGCCATTTGAACAGAATTTCTAACAAAATATCATGAAAACAAAAGAGACTTATTAGTATCATTCCAGAGAGCAAACAGAAAATCATTTTCCATTCTGTCACCCTTTTACCATTTTTTACTTGTTAGAGTAATTGTGTACAGTTTTCAGTGGCTCTAATAACCCCTAAATCTTACACAATCTATATCTTCCTCCAACAGGTTGATGTTTCACTGGATTTTATTTCCATGGAGTGTTTTGAGTCTGAATCTTTGGCAGCTCAATTCAGTAACAGCATCAGCTCCAGAACTGAAAGCAAAGGGTCAAGTGACCCTGGCAAAGCAATCAGCTTAATGAATTAATGCTTGTACAAAACTTCTGAAGAAATAAGGTACTATAGAAGTGCCAACAATATTATATATACATTTTTTTTCCTCCTAGGCCTTTCACTTGCAGGGAAGTACAGATGATACATGACTGGGATTGAACTTTTGAACAAAATAGGTGTGACCCCTCTGGAAGGAGCAGGTAGTAGTTTGTCCTTCAAAACCCAGCAAACAAGTTCACATACAGAACTGACTCTCAGCATTCTTTGCACTTTGAGTCTCTCTTTACTATCTCTCTATACATTTACTTTTACTCTACATAAAATTTCTATATCTTTTTAGCATACATAAGACTACTTTTCATCAATTTAAAGCAAAATAAAGTACCAATTGACAGACACAAGAATACAGAACAGCCCAGGTGCCTAAGCATGAATGCAGACTGATTTAATAAAAACTCATGCTGGTTTGTTGTGGGTTTTGTTTTTTTTTTGGGGGGGGGGGGAGGGTAAGCATGTTGGTCAGACTGCATTCAACTAATCTCAAAGAAGTTTTAAGTCTTAATGAAGCTCACAAGAGGTCTCTTGGTAGTTTTCACTCTATGCATCACCAATTTTACACAGAAAAAAAGGAAGAAAAAGGCACTGCAGGAAGGCAAATAGGAAGAGCTCAAGGATCTTCCATTCAAGCAGTCAGTATGAAGGATCCTGTAGACAACAGTCATATTTGTACTGGGTGTTAATTCCATCCAGGCTTTAATGTGTCTAGAGAGGCTAACAAGAAAAAGAATCAGAATCCAACTCATCTTAAACTGAGCTACAGCAAGAACACAAATGCACAAGTCCCATTATTTGGGGGGAATTGCACATAGTTGACTTGATTAGCGCCAAGAATAAAAGAGCAACCCACAATAACACACTCCATGTTACAGATGCTGCAGAAAACCACTGGCAGAGTACACGTGCATTCTCTGACCAAGGCTGGCATGTTTTTAAAAGACAAACTTCCCCTAGTATCAAATGTACTGAATGAGGGCTACAACAAAGCTTTTGGTACGTATCACCCAGCCTTGTTACACTTCATTACTCATTTTCCATCCAGGAGTGAGGTATACATGACTTTGCAAGAGCCACATGCCCTATTCCTCACATCACGGAGACAAGACTTGAAACCTGCTCTGCTTTTCTCTTGTTCAGATCAGCAGTTACTAGATTCACACTCTATGTGGATAACTCCTGAAACTCTGATTTCGATCAGTCAACGTACAGTTTTTTGTGCTCCTCATATTTCTATCTAGCTCACATTTCTGATAATTATTACCAAGCAGAAGCATATTTTGCAATTGAAGGCAGGATTAACATTTACCTGTATTTGAATATGAGAATTTAATAGATAATGATATATGCTAAAGAATCTGCATCAGAGGAGTCTTTTCCCAATAGTGGAGGACCTTTCAGTAAGACTTTACTGGAATAACAGTAAGATTGGACAATAGGACCCCTAGCTGCTACTGTATTGTCCAGACTAGCACTATATGACAATACAGACCAAATGTTCAGAAGACCTGGCTGGCCAGATCATTAGCTCATACCATTCACAGTCCTTCTTTCTGAGTTATGTTATGAAATTAAAATTAAGTAGAAAGAAGATGAGAGACAAGGTAAGCAGGGCTGGTTGTAGCCAATCATTAAAGTGAAATAAACCTCATATTTTGAAACTTTCACATCAATAGAATCCCTAAAGGAACACAGTATTTATTCTTATATAAGAGCTAAACATCATTTTCAAAAACTGACCAGAGAACTTTGCAGCTGACAAGAATAACAACAGCAAGAGTTAAATAACATTATTACAATAATAGGCCTTTGAAGGGAGTTCAGCTCTTCCAAGTTCTAGGGCATAAGCTAACTTCTAAATTGTGGGGTTAGGAAAAAAATCTCTGCTGTCTAGTTATCCTATAAATGTCTCTGTAAAGGTGCTTGCCAAAGCTTTCCGGAGGCAGTCCAGTACAGCTGAGTGCAACTGGCTGTTAAAATCACAGGTGGTTCCCAAAGTAGCTGTTAAAACCCCTATTAGTCAGAACAGTGCCCCTCTAGTTGTGCCCATTCTCCTCCTCCTCCTTTCCTCTTTCTTCGATCAGGCTCAGATCCAGAAGAGCTTGGCCCCTCCTTCACCCTACACTCATCCTAATTCTAGGACTAGCTGATGGTGTGGCTGAAACACTCTCAGAATTTGAAACATTTCATATTGCAGTCAATGTCAGAGAGAGGATACAGGAACAAGGGGTGGCTGAGCACCACCACTCCTGTGCTGCTCATGCTAGAGAAGGCTGAAGACAGGCAAGTAATTTACAGCTAGTGTGTGGGCTACCAGAGTGGGGCATACCAAAGGCATATCATTAGCTCCTCCCATCCTCCAATCCAAAGCATCACACTTCAGGTAAGGGCACAAACTAAATAATTAAAAAATATATATAAAATAAAATAAAATCCACTAAAAACGACAACTGAAAAGCAGCAACTGAAAAAAACCTTAAAAAAAAAGAAAAACATCATAAATCTCTTTATCACATAAAAGCTGGGAATAGTGAGAAAGTTAAACAGAATGCCAGCTTCCTGCCACTTCGAAGACAAAGCTTGTCACACCTTTACTTTGGACATCCATAAATAGATTCAAACTGCATATATTTCAGGGGCCAGTGAGCAGGAACATGGAAATCTCTTTTTAAGCTCTAATGACTATATTCAACAGCAAGACTGCCATGTTGGCAGCAGGCAAGTAGTAGACTTGGGGGGGCCAGTTCTGGCCACCCACTCAATGCCAGGGTCTGCTGTAAGCAACAACATATACTGAAAGCACCATCTCTTTTTATATCTGCATGGATATTGAGGCAATCTGTTAACTTCATTGTCTCTTAAATTCGTTAGCAGAGTAGCTAAGGCCTTATTTCACAATTGCCATGGAAATACCCTACTACGTAAGTATGAGAGACATTGGCGTCTGAGTTTGGGGATATGGAGGGCTAGTGGAAAATATTTAACACAGTCTTCTCCAATGTCTGTGTCTTGAACAAAACCAAGTGCAGCCTTTACTGAAGACCTAAGACCAGAAAAAGCACACTTATCAAAAGATGCTCCCCAACCCTCGTGGTTTCATATTCATGGTTCTTCTTCAGTTTGTATTCTCTGTGTCCAAGGAGAACCAGAAATGGGAAGAAAATTGAGCACTGACATTTTCCAAGTGATCCCCAAAAGACACCATGAGAATGGAACATTTCATTAAACCATCATCGCAACTCCTAGTTAGAGTATTACACTCCTGCCTGCCACCTCCAGTGGCACACAGACACATCCAGCTGGCTTGGCACACAAATGATCTGCATCACGGTGCATTGGCAGGCTGGTCTTACACAGCCCAAGCTCTAAATAAGCCAGAACAGCTGCTGCCAAAAGGAAAGAGTCTAGTACTTGAGACACAGGTTCAGTTCCGTCTCTCTAACAAGTTACTTCATTATTCTATCCTGACATTCTCCATCTGAGAAATAATCCTCTTCTACTACATGGAAGTGCTGTAAATACAAATAAGAGACTGGTAGGCACTCAGAAACTAGAAGAGTAGGAGGCTTGTAAATCTCTAAGACATAGTTGGAGGAGAAGAAGCAAATCTATGACTCTGTGAAGCACTCTCGGGTCCTGCAGCTTAGGCTTAACTGCAGCAATTGCCCTTTGTGTATCTTCCAGAACACAGTTTTCTGAATTTGCTGAAGATGTCAGGGAAGAATTTGGGTTTAATTCAAAGAACATGCCTGCTTAAACCTTGCTTCTGGGTGGAGTAATCAGAGGGGGGGTTCAGTTATTTTATTTCTCCCATAACATAAATTATGTGAGACTAATGTGTCAGTCTAAGAAGTTTCTCCTTCTGGAGATGGGACTTCAGCCAACTATGTCATAATTTTTCTTGCCTGAAGTGTCTTGTATTCATCATATAGGAATCAAAATCCTAAGCAGTTCAGGTGGTGAGTAGATTTCCCTGTGATGATAAAGTATATTTTATTTTAGACTTTTAGGCCAGCTTCCTGCCATTCCATAACAAAAACATGATTAATGATACATAAAATCCATATTTTAGAATAGAAATAAATTGGGCCATTGCAGCATTTCTATCTGGGGAAATTTTATTCTGTCATTGCTTGACAACATAATTTTACAGAATAAAACAACGCTTTGTACTTAGGGAATTTCACTTCTATATTAAAATATTTTTACTGCAAAATGATACAGGAAAGGATTGACTTTAAGAAAAGATCAATAGATTAGATAAGCTCTTTCTAAAAGGATATGGTAAAGACAGTTTTTACAAATGGAATTGTAGTAGTCATAATCTTATTTTAAATAAAATATAAATGGATGAATAGAGCTTATTTTTACACAAGACTGTGAAGAGTAGATTTATTTTGGTGAATAAGAAAATACAGAGTTTTAGCAATTACAATGGAGTCACAGAAATTTGCAGTAAAGGAAATCGTTAAAACATCGTATTAGCCAAATACATTTGGCAAGTGTGCATATACGTAAAAAAAGTCACTTAAGACTCAATATAGTTTTTTACCCAGACAACTCAAAGATGGGCCAACATCATTCTGCAGGGGAGAAAGTGAGACAGAAACCAGTGAAGTGACCTTTCAAGGGATTTTCTTCAAAGGATGGAAAATAGTTGTCCTCACTTACAGTCTGGTCCTATACATTAGATTTATCATACAGCTTACACTACACAGTATTCAGTGTGTGGAATGTTTTGGGCTGTGGACCATTGACATTGCAATATAGAGATTCTTACCCTGGTTTCCAACTCATACTGCCTTTTCTGGGATTTGAAGCTGCTTCATTTTGCTGGAGGAAGACAACACAGAGAAAAGAAGTGACTAATAAATGGTGATAAAAGGACAACACATGAGCTTGCTTTTACCAACCTTTGGAAAGCCCT